AAAAAAAAAAAAACGATTATCGGGCCTTCAAAGAGCCAATTTAAATTCATTTAGGTAGCCGGAAGGGAAAAGGGGATCAGGCAACAAGCTGAATGAATTAGCAATGAAATCACGGCATACCATTTGACGGCATTGGTAGGTGCACAGCATGTGGTCCGATGTGGTGGGGATTGAATAGCCATGAAAATACTCTGGCGCCGGAAGATCTTCGTACACCAACAGCTGCTTATCGGAGCTTCGGCTCTGAGTATTATTATTATTATCATCATCATCCGGCGGCCGTGAATCCGCCCTTCTCTTCCTCGCCGGTGGAGTTCTGATAATCATTTTCGATTGTTTTTTCCTTTTATCTCATCAATTTGAGGATTTCCCTGAAGTTTATTGAAAAACTGATTGAGTATTAGGGTTCCAGCTTGTTTGGAACAGAATTCCAAATTTTGAAGGGAACGCGCCAACTGCCATTCGTTAATACATCTGGCCATTGTATACCAGAATTCTCACAAAAAATTTCAATATTTTAACTCAAATAATTTTTTTTTAACTAAATTTTAATTAAGGGCAATGCTATATGTACACCCCTTTTTAATAAATTACACAAAGGTCAATGCTATATATACACCCCTTTTTTACACACAAGGGGGTGTACATATAGACACCCCCTTAATTAAACTTCACTATCATCAATATTATCAATATAATAAAATAATATCAATCAATCATTTATAACATCACATCAACCTTAATTCACTATTCATCCACTCACATTATTTTAACTAACAATCACATCAAATTTTAATTATTTAAATATTATTTTAATATACTCACTAACAATTAACCATACTAAGTTTTTCAAAATTAACTAAACAAAACCAAAAAATTCAACAAACCAAAAATTTTCATATCCAAACATGCTCTTAAAATTTCCATAATATAAAATTATCGGATGTGATGAATAAGCAGCAAACTTGAACGCATTGGGATTCTATATGTGTTTGCCATTTGATTTTGATAGATGGTAAATTTACTTTCAAACAAATAATTAGATTTGTATTATCTATCTATAAATATAAGGATATCTATATCTATATCTATATATATATCTAAAAAGTTAGATATTAAATCTGAATTCCTATTTACCGCATCCAAATCGATTATACCGCATCCACAAAAGACCATTTAGCCTTTACTCATTAAAAAAAACAAAAAAATAAAGAAACTTCTGTCCAAACCTCCCCACCCTCTTCCCCAAAACCACTACCCTCTTCTCCAAAACCAAATCGCTCTCTCCTCT